TAAATACAGCATTAGTATGGAAGTAATGTGACTGTAGCTGCTCACATCTGGAAAAATTAATTCATCGTTGAAAATGTATCCAGAGTTAACTGTTTCATGTCAAAAACTATGAAGTCATAGCTTAAAGAAGGGCAATATAAAAACTAACCATCGTAAGTTAAATTCTACAATGAATTACCATGGTAAACTCATCACTTGGGCTTTTCCAGTATAGTCTTTTACATCAGACACTAATTAATTTCTAATTGATCTTTCCAAGAACAACTGCTCAGTGTGACCGTAAAGTTCAATGCCCTGCCTTCAACATTTCCAACTCTTCATGCAGAAAATAGCAGGACTTTAGCTAATGGGGCTAAAGACTGATTTTGTTTGTTACCAAACTCTTTAAACAAGGACAACACCACAACACCGGAGTGCTGCTTAATCTCACGCATTTTACAATCCTACTACAGCTATTATGCATTAACCTGGTAAAGACGCTTAAATATCTTTAGCAGGCTTGACTGCATAGTTACCAGGGCGTTCGAACACGGTTCATTTACGGACAGGTCTTTGGCTGTCACACTGGCAATGTCTGTATCGCCAAACAATGATCCAAAGAGCTGGATCAGGACAGTGAAACAATGTGGAACTGAGGACACCACACCCAACCATATATACCAGGAGAGGAGGTGCTACTTTGGACTGTCTTTAGTCTGGTCCCAAGTATTGAAACTCCATTAGCACCTGAACAAATCAGATGTATTTCCAGAGTGAATATTGCAGTTTAGTTTCTTCTAAAAGGCACGCATGGAAAATGGAGAAGACCGTGAGATTTGCTCTGAAAGCTCAATCCTGATACTAAATAAAACATTCACATAAATGCAGCAGTTGTAATTGTTTGACTAAAACACAGTATTGTATTTTGAATAACAGTGACCGTGCATAAAGAGCTAGAAAACTAATTACTTTTCATTAGAGCAAAATATTTAATTGAGCAAAGCAAGCAAGGCAGAGAGGGGCATAGCTGATCCATTTTACCAAGCCCAGCACTTCCCATCAAGGTGCCAACATCGCATTCAGCTCATGAAAGCCAGGACAGGAAGAGTGCCTGCACTGACTGCTGTCAGGATGACTGGGTTCCTGGTGCACGGCCAGAGCTGATGAACTGAACCGGGAGGGCAGGGAACTGCCTAGGCACTGTCTTGTGGTGGGAAATACTGCCTTGAGGGGGTCTTTTGATGATGCTCTTAGAGATTCTCTAAAAGCTTCCTTATGTGCATGCTATCATTGTTACAACTTAGCATAAATGGTATTAATATTTTCCTGAGGACAGTTTGAATCCAAATCATCTATGAATATTTATTTTCATAAACAGCCTCAAGACCCTAAGAGTTCTATAAAACACAAACATGTCATTAGCTATCTGATTTAGGCAGATCACATAATACACCATTTTGTACATCTGTTACATTTTTATTTTGGAGGCTACAGAAAAAGTAATATCCTAAAAGAATATAATATTTCAGTCTTTCAGACAATTATTTTGAATTGATAAATTATATCTAAAGGTTTATTCGGACAGTGTATGCTCAAAAACCAAACAACTTGGATGACACCTAGTGGAATGATAAGCAATAGCTGACGATCGCACAGCAACTATGTACAGGTTTGAGTAGTGAAAACAGCAAGGAGGGAGATTCTGCATGAGAATGGGTGAGAGGAGAAAGAATTATTGGATAAAATGGGTGGAGTACAATTTAGGAGAAGAATTTCCTAAATGACAAGAGTTTATCTGCCTGTGTAATGATCTTCAGAGGAAATGGGATATTTGATTTGACAGAGGCAAAATTAAATCAGGTAAAACCACAATAAATGTGCAGCAGGAAACAAGACAATAAGCAGAATATGGACAGGATGAAATTCAGAGTCCTCCTATGTATAAATACTAAAAAGGCTTTACCAGGCTAGTTCTCTAGAGTGCAGTAGATAATGGGAATATTTTGGTCCTGGGGTGCCAGTAACTCCTGATGTGAGAGAAATCACAGGTTTTCTTTAATTCATTTCTGCAGGCAATATTCCTTGATGTGTGAATGAATTTCAATCTTTTTTTTTTTCCTTCTTTTTGCTTATTCACTTATTTGTATAATTCATTAATTACCAGTGACTCACATCCAGTTATAAAGAAATATTTTGGTTAGTCTGTTCTCACCGACCTATTTGAAAATATGAAAGAAAAGATTTAATCAAGGTGATGATAGAACTTAAACGAGCAGCACTTGTGCCATCTATTGACAATGTGATGTGGCAAGATTTTTCAGCATTGGAAGTGGAAATAGTGCTTGAGAAAGACTTCTGTCTTTTTAGGTCAAGAAGAGGTCATTGACAGCAGTAAATGACTATAACTCCTCAAACCCATCTATAAAAAATAATGGTATATTCTGCCTGAATTTCCTCTTAGCAGGTCATGCGTTTGATCTGCACATTTAACTTTAACTTACAGCTTTTATTTTTAACTGCAAGGAAACTAGTAATTCTCCTTTCAACTCTTTTTTCTCTCTATAAAGGCAATCAAAAGCAGCAACACGTAGCTGACTGGAAAAGTCAAGGCCTCAAAAGAGCACTAATCCAGAGAAGTGTGCTTTCAGGCAGTGAGGTAGCAAGAGAAGTTTCGTTTGGGAAACAAGCGTGTTCAGAAATACCTCTCCGCTGAGGAGCTGGACAGACCCTCTCTCATTCACAGAAAGTGCAAATGGATTCACTCTGTGGAAAATATATTTTCAGACTATAACAAGATTATAGCAGATTATAGCATCTTTTTTTCAAATTGGCTCTCTATAAATCCTCTTAAAATGAAGAATCCTCATTTGGCCTACAAAAAGCTATAGCCCTAAAATCATAAATGCAAATGACGTGTATTTTCAGCTTTACTTCTGCCAGATACTCCCTGCATATGTTCACTGCCACACAGAGCTGAACAAACTGGCCCACGGTCCTCATCACCAGTAACAGAGTCCGGGACTCGGCCTGACCAGCTACTTCTCCAACCACGTGTGACACAGCAGCCGGAGGAACATAGGACTACCTTTGTTAGAATTACCCATAGCACAGAATTTGGGTATGGATTCCAGAGGATTCCAAATATTTTGCATCCATTTCAATGCAAAAAGATGCAGCATTTGATTTCACTGCCTAACTTCATATAACTTCATCTTAGAGAAAAAATCAAAATTCAAATGGGGTTTGAAGTATTTTTGCCTTTTCCCTCCAGCACTGTCTAAATTACCTTCTAAAATACTAAAGAGCAGAGATAGACATTAAGTCATTTTCTCAAGGAAGATCCTAACCAACTTCAGGCTACTGGGAATTCATTAGACTTTATGACGAAAAGTACTTTAAATATAAGTAAGAATTACTAAGAATTGCTGTCAGAATAATTTTAAATGTCAGAAATTTCCCTTCCCCCCAAGAAAAGCATGTTATAAAGAAACAACAGCTCAGAAGCAGGGCTCTGCTGCCCATCTGCAACATCAGAAACTCACCTGGGTTTCATTTCCAAATGCAGAGCACAGCTGAAAGCCTGTCCCCAGAACAACACACTAAACAAGAACTGGCCTGAATTAAACATCAGATCCACAGCACACTAGGTTTCCAAATGTCAACTACTATCTTAATTCTAGAACGGTCATGTTTGGTAGCTACAGCAAAGGAAAACTTATTTCAATTCTATTCCAAAATTTCATGTACAAAAAAAAAAAAAAAGTGAAAACAAAATCCTGGGGTTTTTTTCTTTTACACAAACACGGCATTCTTTATTTAGATGAACAGATACATGTATGATATAAACTTGTATCATCCTGAATTACTGGCTTTCCAGCCAAATATACACAGAGCATGTTATGTTCTAAGATGTCACACTGCTATTATTCCACATTTGATGTTCTTCAGCAACTTCAGTATGAAGAAATTTGCAGGACCACAGTCCTCTTTGGAGCTATGCACAGCTGCCCTGACTGGGACGAAAGGCTATATATGTGCCCAAGGCTGTCCTTGTCCTCTAGGCTGGGCTGATGAAGGGGAGCCATGCTAACCATGACAGTGAGCCTTTCTCAGTGCACCTTCCCTGACTACCCATTTCTAAACTCCAAACCAAACTAGGACATTACAAAGAAATTATATTCCACAAAGTATCACAAGAACCAAAATAGGAATTGATCCATTGATCCATACACGTGTACTCTCCTTCACATCCAAGGTCGTGTCAGGGGCACCTGAGTCGTTCTGGCTCAGGTATTTCTGCACTGCTCCACATAGCAGGGTACAGGTCACTCTCAGCCTCTTTGCATAAGATAGGTTCTGCAAATCCCTCATCATCACAGAAACCTTCCTTTCACTTGTTGGTGTAATCTCTTTTGAACATGGGTGACCAGAATTAAATACTGTATTTTCGGTGAATTTTTACCACTATTTTAACGTAATGGCATTAATATTTCTCTATCCCTTAATGATCTCATCTGACTAACATAAGTTATTTCGATGCTATGGTGTTTTTTTACAAATTTTACTTAATCAGTGGAAAGGCAGATATCAAACACACCTGGCTTTGACTAAAATAGAACTCAATTTCATGGGCTAACTTGAGTGCCCTTGAATCTTGCTTGGGCTTGCATATGTCAGCAGCTGAAGCTCAAGCTAATTTTTATACCTGTAGCTTATCACAGCTGAGGAAAAAAAAAAATGCTAGATTTCAGATGACTCATTTTAGGTTTTCAAGACATTGTCAGCTTTAATAGGAAAAATATATTAGCAATAAAAAAAAAAATTCAAAAGCATTTTCTTGTCTGCAGAAAATACAAAAATGCCCCAAGCACTATATGCTGTGACACGTCAACCATATATAGCACCTTCCAATGGGATTGGTTTCCCATTATACATAGAAAAAGCTCATCTTCTTTAACACATTTCCTTACTGACTCTTTAAAAAGTCAGCTCCAATTGCTGCATGCACTCCAACGCTTTACCAAGCGGAGAGAAAAGAATCAAAAGGGAGTAAATAAGGGTAAGTGTCTGTCAGGCATCTCACCAACTCTTCCTTTCTGCGTTTTTGCCACAGTTCTTATTTCTATTGGATTTGGAATTTCTTGCTGTTTATATATTAAATCAGAAGAAACCGTCTTTTCTATAGACATTGCCTAACTATTTTTTAGTCAGATGACATAGTCTGTCCTTTTAAGATGTCTACTTTGAAAAAACCAGCTCTAGTAGATTTCTGGAAAAATAACAGATGAGTATCTAGATTCAGACCAGAGATATTCAGACCAGAGATATAATAGAGACTTGCTAACAAAGACAAAGGAGATTGTTAAGATTAATACTCCAGCTTCTCTGTGATGAAGTTTATAATTTTATGTAGCATTAATCCAATTTAAAATATAGAAATGTAGTGTTTAGATCAGGAATTTAAAGCTGTCTAACTTTATTTTGAAAAGCTAATTACATAATCCTTGTAAGTAAATTGAAGCAAATTAATTTCAACCAAAACCAATCTGTTTTTCCTACAATTTTGGTCTTTATTAAATGAAACTTCCTAGAGAAAAAAAGTAGTTGCAGCTCATTTTAAGTTTTAAGAAGAATTTTTTTTTTCAGTTCTAAAATATCTCTACACTTGAAAAAAATATTTTGAAGATTTGTTTTCCAAATTTCATTCTACATTCATCTAATTCAAGCTCCTTATTGCCTTAGTATGTAAAAACTTCTTTTACTCTGTATTTGTTGTTGTTAATAGGTCTCTTCTACCTGCTTGCTATTTCTCAGGCTTTGTCCAGTCCAATTTTAAAATCATAGTCAATGTGCTTCTAATGTTTGCCTGCAAACAAAGTTATACAACTGCTTTCACCTTCTTCAGTTAAAAAAGGATTTTTCTTTACGTGTATATAGTGTATAAAAACTCAGCACTTTTTACAGTATCTGCCATTCTCCAAGTAGTACCAAGTACAGTCAGATATTTTTTGCTTCACTACTTATTTATTGTAAATTAATTCAAATTTAAAAAAATAATTATAGGATGTATTAATATAATAAATAAAGATGGTTTCAAGATTGGAAATTCCCCAACCTGTGCGAAGGAGTTCTTATATTTCAAATTCCAATCCAGTCCCAAGGCTAACTATGTATTTTTAAATGCAGAGAAGTAGTAGGAAATACAGGAAGGGAATAGCTTTATAGGTTTTGAACTGCCAAATAGAAGGGACTGAGATGGAAGTCTAGTGGGACCCACTCTACACAAGTGAGACTGACATAGCAAAAGGATAATTACCTGCTAGCCCAAAGCATGGTTATTTAATGTCTAAAAGACAAGCAGTACCAGATATGCAAAATTTCCAATTCTCTATTCTTCCAAATCTTAAACTGTATGTTCGCAGAGGTGCATGAAGCTACAAGGCAGCGAAAGAAACCTTTTTGTCACATAAAAACATGTACTTCCTGGTTAGAATCTTCATACTCTCAGAAAGATGATTTTTAGACATTTACAATTATTCAATCTCAATTTTGAAAACTGACTTCAACACACAATTTTAACACTAGACCTATGAAGATGTAGAGACTGAATCAAAATCTTTGCCTAAAACTAACCTAGTTTTTACCATTGTCTCCTGGTGACAATCTGTTCCAGAACTTTGAACAATAATATATTTCATACAATATGAAGGAAAAGCAATGAACTACAGACAAAATGGAAGCACCATGCTCACTGCCATTTATGCTACTCAATGTCAGGAAGAATGGCTCTGTGGGAAATACAGAAAACTAAAGATTTTCTTTTAACACCTAAACCTTATGAGTAATCCTGAGAAAGAAATAGCTGTGTTCTAGTGCTGCATTTAGAAACATGCTAATGAATCATACTTATCAGATTATTATTCTTATTCTCTGGGTAGCTGAAGCATGAACAAGGCAGTATTCATCACTGCTGCAGGATTTGCCATGTCATTGCTGTTCCACGTGACCCAAACTGAAGTCTGTCCTCCCTCCTGCAATTGTAAGTCACCAGGAGAAATGACGGATTGGCATATAGACTGCAGTTCCAGGAAGCTGACGGAAGTGCCTGTCTTGCCCGTTAACACCAAGAGGCTTTATCTACAGAACAACAGCCTGACCTCAGTCCCTCCCGGTGTCCTGGACAGCTTGCGCAGCCTGGAGGAAGTGAAAATATTTGACAATCCTTGGAACTGTGACTGCCATATTCTGTATCTAAAACTCTGGTTAGAAGACTTCTCTGCACTGTCTCTTGAAAACATCAGATGTGCAACCCCAGTTCCCGTGAGGATGAAGCCCTTGAGTCATCTGACTGGGAATGAACTGGGGATTTGTAAGAGGCTTCTCCCAATCAAGTGTCTTGAGTTCTTTTGGCGAGACCTCATTTTAATTGCTGGAGTAATAATTGCACTTATTTTAGTAGCATGGGCTCTGAAATTCTCAAAAAAGCTGGTCTACCAAATAAAGCTAAGCCAATACGACTCTAGGGGCTCACTGTTGGGGAGGCAGACCTCCAAAAACCACAAGATACAATGAGCTGTTCACTACCACTAGCTTAAACAGAAACATCCAACTATTCTACCACAAAAAAGCACATGCACTGGCAACACCAATGGTCAACATGCTACAAACAGATCCAAGGGCTCAAAGTCTTGGTCCTCAGATAGGCAAGTTTTGATTTAATTTCCTTTCAAAAATAAGCATGGTGATGTATTGACTGGCCAGTTTCATTCTGCTGCCATCTACTCATGTGAAAAGCAGTTTCTAAGTTTTTTAAAAATCATTTAACTTAGCATTTTTCCACTGAAATCTGAGTTCTTATAGCAAGAAGATTTATATCACCAAATCCTACACTTTTGAATATATAGAGGTGAACAACAATTGTACTATGTTAGCAATTCTTTTCTCACTCAGAAGCTGCGTGAGTTTGTGTCCCCATGGGCTTGGTAGGACCATGTTGCGTGCGAATTCAGCCATCTCTTCCTCGGATTCAGGAGTTTCCTGCCAGCAAACCCACAATGATTATTTAGGCCAGCCACTGAATGTATCCCTTATTGAATACGTTTAAAGGTGAACTTGAATGAAAATATAATCAGTAAAAATAATTTTAAATACTGTTGAATTTCCTAGAGAGTGAACAATAAAAAAGCGTTCTATGTGAAATTGAAATAATGGATGCTTATTGAACATTCATACTCACCCAAGTCTGATCTCTTTCACAGTTCTACAGATTTCTGATTAAAATCCTAAGAAATTTCCAGAGCTTGTCTTCCAGTTTTACTACTGACATTTGATATACTGGATTTTGTGCAACAGCTTTGAAAAGGATGTACTCTCTTTCCTCCTTTTCTTGTGCACCCCATCCTCAGAGAAAAATTGTGGTGGTGACTCAAGCATATTGTTTTCTCCCTAACCTGATTATTCACAAGACTCCAAGAACAGCACTTCATGCTGTGACCCCATCTGGTCTGGCAAAGTTAGGCTGGTTAGATGGGAGATCTCTGAATGTCTTCTGTTGGCAGTTCAATTTAAGACATATTTTGCAAATGCTCCTCCTAGCCCCAGACCTGAGCTAGGTATTAGAGGTTATCTGCTGAAGACACTAAAGACTGTTTAGCTTTTTACCTAGCACCTTGTCATCTGAGTGGGGTTCCTTCTTAAAGCACATAATATCCCTAGCAAAGTTGGTGGTTAGCTTTCTTCTGATAGGTGGCTTTGCAATTACCATGTGCTGTCACTTCTGTAAGATGAGACTCATTTCTAGCCACAAACACCCAAATCAAAGACAGCAGAAGCTTACAGGGACATTTCTAAGTGTTTCTTGCCCCTGCCAAAGCACTTCAGCAATAGGAGTCAAGCTGTCGATGCTCACTGCTGGTGACATTCTCAGCTTCAAAAGAGACATGTTACTGTCTGTAACATATCTTCACTGTTGGTCCTCTCTCTTGTGCACTAGCAGCGAAATGCCAATCTGAGACATCACCACTTGTCAACGTAAATTGACATCAATTCAGGATGAGTCACTTGTTCCTCCACACACGGAATGGCCACCGAGTATGGTGGAACTGCTGAAAGAACCTCTGACGCACAGATAGATTTGGGGAAAGGACATGCACCATGGGTAGAGGGTTACACAATTTAGTAACAAAGTGCAGCATGGAGCTTTAGACTGAGACAAGGAAAGGAACAGAGATTTTTTTTCCCTGTGCTAGAAAATAATTAATGACCTGGGATACAACATTCCCACTGCAATGTTAAAGTCAGCAAATGATACACAGTGGGGAACAAGAAGAGGGAAGTCATAAATGCAGAGAGTGGTGGGTTACTTGGAGAGCCAAGCAATCAAAAGCAAGATCGTACATATAGAAACAAAAGATGGGTTGAGGACTCAATTCAGAGAAGGCATATAATCCAGTAATAATGATCTCCCACGTATGACATCATTGCAGCAAAGGGCTAATGGTATCTTTTCTTGTTAAAACAGGGAATATCATTTAGGCATAGAAAGATTTATTTACTTCCATGTTTAGATAAGCTTCAGTAATTCAGTATCAATATCAGTATGTCTACAAATCAAGAAGAATCAACTGCAGAAAAATCAGAAAAACAACTGTAATGCAAATAAAGGATTGGAAAATGTATCTTAAAAGGAGCTTAATCAATTTCATTTAATAAAGAGGAACTGAAGGAATGACAAGATCACAGCTTGTATGAATCTACATGAAGAGAAATTTGTTAACAAAGGGCTGGAAGTAGAAACTAGAACATCGGACTAGAAACAGGGCTCAAAATCTAACAGTAAAAATAATTTAAGCGCTGAAATAGCTTGTCAAACGTCATGGTGAATCCTACAGCTTAACCAACATTGGACATTTTTTTCAAATTGGTAAGCGCTAGCTGAAATGAGAACTATTTTAACCGAATTGTATGTGACATCTAAAACATTACAGCTAGTCTTACTGCTTTGGTCACCTGCAAAATTTATGGTGGGACAGGCCATGAAAAGAGAGACCGCAATGGCAGTGTGTCACAGGGACATCCTTAGAGAGCACTGGCAACACCCCTGAGGAACTTGGCCTGTGCCGGCTGAGCCACCCTCCCACACTCCACAGCAGCAGTAATATTCCACTCCACCTTCTCCAATTGTGTATCGCACTCTTCACTATGAGTACTCAAAGTGCAGCACAGAATTTGCTTTCTACAAAGTGTTGCATCCCTGCTGCAGGAAGTGAACCATATAACCTAGAAACAGCAGGGCTTAGTAAGGCTATATTACACTCCGGTGCAGACCAGAATAAAATTGTGTCTTCAGATTTAAGTGGACATTTTGATCAGGTGAACACAAACATTCAGAATTTCTCTGGCTTTTAAAAATGTTATTCTACATAAATAACCTCTGCAGGAAAGAATTTCAAAGAAACACATAGGAACATAGTGGTGTATGCACTTAGATATTTTTAGAATATTTTCTCTGCGCTGAGCTTTTCAAATTTTTAAAAGGCAACCACCATTTCATATTAATGCAGAATACTACAGAAGAAATGCACTCTGCAATCTCTCATGGAGAGTTTCTAAATTATATCTTTCTTTTCCCCAAAATAAAATCAATCATTAACACCAAAAGCTTATCACCCTCTTTTGTGCCTATAAAACTACATATGCATTTTCCATCCTGCCATAAAGAACAGGCCATGCAACTCAACAAATTTGAATTGATATAGACCATAAGCTATACCAAAACAACATTCAATATGCAGGTGAAGTGGATGAAGTTATAACTGTGCATTGGAACACAGTCATCTTGAAAGTTTGCTAGTGTCGGTAAAATAGTAAACTGCTTTACTGTATAGCTTTAATTGTACAAATATAAAAAATGAGCAATTAGCAAACATTTCTGCTTATACCAACCAACATATTAAATAAGATGCACAGAATACAGGGGGAAAAAAAAGTATTTGAGAGAACATGTTTTCTGTCCTCATAAGAGGAAAGAAGAGGGAATGTCTTCCATGGCAGTATTTCACATACCACTAAAAAAGCATCATATGTATCACTTCTGAACCATTTGACTTTTATCTGGAAAAAAAAAACCAAACCAACCAAAACCAAAAAACCTTCTGAAAAGGGGAAAGTTGGAACTGCTAACTAAAGGCTCCAGAGCAACATGCAACTGTTTATCTGGTAAGGGCACTATGCTGTGCTTAAGCCACACACTCAATTAAATTGCATAAATAATGCTGCAGTTGCTAACAACGTGCGAAGACAGGAAAATACATCAGCTATCTAAATGAAACATGCAAACAGCATTCCCAAAGGAGTTTGTAAAGATGCCAGAAAGTGTTACTGTATCATGCCTGCAGAGTGCAAACTAGTGAATATATCTGTTTTCACATCCTTTGCTAACATAGGAATAACTGCTGGAATTAATGGCAACTAAAAAATTACAAGTTTTGGTTCAATATTTAGCAAGACAAGTAATCATATTCAGAATTATTGAGCAAGAACAAAAAATATTTTTAAACAGTTCACTGTAATACACTGAGTAGATTTGTGTAAACTGCAATTCTGTGTAAACTGCAATTCAATTAACATGGCAAATATTTGCAGGCTTCATTTATTAAGCAGAATGTTAGGTGAATCACTTTTTTTCTTGAAATGGTCAAGATTTTCTTAACATTGAAGCAAAAAGGTTTTTTCTATCTGAACAACTTCTGTTTGGCTTAACGCTGTCTTTCTGTCTGGGATCTACAGGTAGAGTTTATTCCAGATCCATTGTTTGAGTTCATGCATCTGAGGAGTTTACTGCTTTTTCCTTTTGCTTCCCCCCCCCTTTTCCCCCGCCCCCCCACTTGACACTAATACACATACAGCACTGTTTAGAACGTTTATGTGAATAACCATAAAGGGAGGCTTAGAAACTAGGCACTTTGTTTTGACCTTACAATTCCATCCCACACCCAAATTACTTCAAATGCTACTGGAGCCAGTGGCAGGCTCTTCCTGGGTTTGGAACGTGTCATGCCCATTCACAGCCGAAACATGCAGGCATTTTATTTCAACAGCTCTTACCACATTTATCTTCAAAGTTTCCCAGTTCCCCTAAATTTGATGTCACAGCATCTTGCATCCATGACAAGCATTTTCATGGGTTTGTGTTTCACTTACTGGCAGTTGGTTTCTAATGTATTTGGAATTTTTTTTTCACTTTTCCATTAATTCAATAAATCAACCGGGGGAAAAACCCTTTAGAACAATGGGATAATTCCCACTAAAGCAAGTGCAATATACTTAAGTGACTAGTGCCTGAAATTTGACTGTAATAAACGGTGGCTGCAAACATACAGGACCCTTATTAAAGGGCACATAATGTAGGATGTCAGCATGAAACAGAGAGGTGATAATCACCATTTTTGCTTTTAAAAAAAAATTTTTTTTTAAAAATCTGTTCTCTATATACAGCAGGCTGCTCAGGTATCTTCACAAAGGCCTAAGTGTCTCACATGGCCCTCCTATGAAACGTGGGGAAAAAAAAAATG